TGATTATAGCAACTCGAGGTTTTAATTTGTTCTTCAGTTCCTTGAGCTTAAGATATGCTGAGCGAGTTCGGCCCTTTTGATTTTCCAACTCCAACTCCTTGCACATTTCATTGTAATGTTTTGCTTTGTCATCCCGTGCTGCCTTTTGAAAAGTAGCTAGTCTTTTTTGTTTGGACTAAAGTGAAAGTGAGCAAGACTCATATGTGCCTGTCTTATCTGCAAATTACTAAAGGCACAGTTAATAAAGAGGTGGTGGAGATTACATGTAGTTTGTAGGGTTGTTTCTTTGTTTTTGTAATATTATATTTTCCCCCCAAATAATACTAATTAAAAATATTCACACGTGCTGGGTAGAGTAGAGGGACAGCGCAGGAGGGGAAGAACCTCTATGAGGTGGATTGATTCAGTGACTGGAGTAATCAGGATGGGTGTGTCACAGGCAATGAGATTGGCACAGGATAGAGCATGGTTTAGGGCTGTTGTACATAGGGTGGCTATGAGTCGCAAACAACTCGATGGCACATAACAACAACAACAACAACAACAACTTTTAAGTCAACAGTTTAGCACTCTTATTTGTATGGCTTTAAAAGTTATAATACAATATCTATCTTAAAGGCAGGGAAGGCAGATTCCATCCAAAACAAAGCCTGATATATACATGTTTTTCTCTTTACTGTACTTTAAATACATTAGGTTGGTGTTTTTTTTAAAATGATGCCTATATTCTTTTAATCTTATATACTGGTAAAATACTACTACAAACTTTTCATTAAAATTAAGTTTACTACAGAAACCAATTAATTTTCCCATTTGGAAATGGTCCTTCAGCTGCCAGTAAATTAAATGTTTTAACCTTAAATGGCAAAGAACTGGAGATGGAGATTGTCAACAGTTTCAGTTTGCTTGGCTCCAAAATCAACACTCTTGGGACCAGCAGCCAGGAAATGAAAAGATTAATTGTATTTAAAAAGTCTGCTGCCAGAGACCTCTCCAAACTACTGAAGAGCAATAATATCAGTCTAGAGACTAAGGTGCCCTTGATCTAGGCCATGGTCATCTCAGTTATTTGCTATGCATCAGAAAGCTGGACAATGACTAGGGATAATAGAAGAAGAATTGGTACGTTTGTGGTGCTGCTAGAACAAACAGGTTCATTCTACAGACAATAAAACCAGGCTGCTCCTTGGAGGCAAGGATTCTGAGGCTTCATCTGACATACTTTGGGAATATTACAAAGAAGGATCAGTATTCGGAGAGGGACATCATGCTTGGGAGGGTGGAGGGACAGAAATGAGAGGTATATTGATTCAGTTATGGTGGTAATGAGGGTAGGTTTGTCAGAGACAATAAGATTGACACAGGATAGAGCTGGGTATAGGGCTGCTGTATGAAGGGTCACTGTGACTCACAAGCAAATTTACTGCACACAGCAACAACAACATATATTTATATCAAGATTTCCTTCTAAGACCATTTTTCTGCTGTAAAAAAAATCTATGTAAATCAGGGTATTTTTTTCAAAATTGTTAGACTTTAAAGCAAAAATATAAAGCCTGTGGTTCTTTTCCCTAAAATCTAACACAATCTGAGCTAGAAGACACCACAATGAAAATAGAATCCTAAGTACTCAACTCCATAATAGAAATACAACCTATTTAAGGTTCCACAAATATAGGTCACAAATTCCCCAACTGAAATAATTGAAAAGAAGTAATCTTAAAAGGATTCTATGGATTATGTTTGCAGCTCTGTCAGACCTTTTGTTCACACAGGGTCGCTATAACTTGTACTTGACTTGAAGGCAATCAACAACAACAATCAATGTATACAAACATGAAAAGCACACATAATTAGCATGATTATAGATATAATTTTTATCTTTGTCATCTCTTCTTAGATAAAAAATATTAAACACATGAATTTGCTAAAGAAGCCCTGAGATGTCACATTTAACATGATTGCTAACCAAAAGGTCATCAATTCTAATCCACCAGTGCTCCTTGGGAGAGAGATAGACAGTCCCTCTCTCAAAGATTTACAACCTCAGAAACCTAATGTGGAGTCACTATGAGTCCAAATCCACAGGAAAGTAGTTGGGGATCAAACTATATAATATGGAAATAGGAACATTCAATTTCATTCTCAACTTCAGAAGGATTGGAGATCATGAATGCATAGAAATTTCAGAGTATAAGACTTACCTGTAACCTTCAGTTCAATGATAGCTTCATCATAGAAATCACCATCTTTGAAGAGGCAATGGTATTGTCCATTATCATCAACATTGACATTAAGAATTCTGACAGTCACTTTTCCCTCTCCAATGGCTTCTTTCAGGAAATCTATTCGTTCCACATATTTGGAGATAGTTTCCCCATACAGATCTTTACCACCCTTGTACAGGTGAACAGGTTGCGTGTAGCGGTCCTGAAACCAGCGCACCTCCATGTGTTCTGCACTCTGTGGTGGTGACAACTGGCAGCTGAGCTCAGCCACCTCACTCACTGGAACCACAATTGTTCCCCTTTGTGCACTCACTGTGAACTGTTCTGGGGAGGGAGACAGCAACCAGAAGCTAAATAGTGAGTCATAAGACTATTATCCTTTTATTTAATAAAGTTCAGAATTTATAATAGTATGTATTCATATTAAGATCTATTTCTCTTGACCACTTTTTCTACTGTCGAAGATCTGTGTAAATCAGGTTTCTTCAGAATTTATTTTATATTCTTTTCCTTAGAATCTAACACTATCTGAGTACATGATAAGGAAAATTTAGTGGATGAAAATAATTTTTCCATAAACATAAACTAAATATTTTTTTTAATTTAAATTAAATTTTTATTTTATACTGGTCTACTTTCACAACTCATATACATTGCTTTTCACACCAGATCTTTCTTTATCTATTCCTCCCTCCACTCATCAAATTGTGTGACCCTATGACTTGTTTGTGGTCAGCATTAGTGTTGCTTACCATGAGGATGGGGAGACATTCTTACCAGAGCTTAGCGTTATCATCTGAAGCAGGAAAACAAAAATAAAATATTCTGAGGAAGATAACCCAGTAGTTTCCATGTGCCTGTAACAAGAAATAAACCAGGTTCAGAAATTGTGAGAACCCAAGTCACAGAACCACGTATCTCCACATCACTTCTGTGGTAATTGATTCTCAAATAGGACTATCAGATAAAATTCAAGACACCCAATTTGAATTTCTGATAAACAGCAAATAATTTTTTTAAAGTACGCTTCCTATATTCTACCTTTAATTTTATTTGCTAAATGACCATCCAACTCCCAAGGATATTCTGACCAAGGGTGACTGATTACACCCAGCCACAGGCTTTTTTACTTGTAAGAATCAATTCCTCCCCACATAGATTTTGCTTGTTTTCTATTTTTTAAACTTGATCAATGAGGTGCTGCTTCTAAGAAGAGGTACAAGATCTGTTACCTGAGCTTTAATCTGGGTGGACTATGGAACTGCTCTATTTAGTTGAACAAAATTATTTAAAGATTTTACTTTATTATTCTAATAGATAACACTTTAGAGAGGATTACAAATTTCTTTCCTTTATTGTTGTACATTTCTTTTGGCCTTATTTTTGGATGGATGGGAGTACAAAAACATATAACATAGGTGTTATTTAGGTAAAAATATTATATGCCAAAGGGCATTAATGGAGTGTTGGGACTGTGTTGTCTGAGCTGCTGTAAATTCATGAGGGGTAAGGCATCATTAGCTTAGTCATTCGAGACTGATTCTTTTGAGGTCTAACTTACTCTCCAACCATTTTCCTAATTTTATAGATTATTTCACTGAATTTATTGAACTTACAGAGTACACCCAAAGGCTTACAATTTATTAGAGAAATAAAAGGTTATAGTTCAGGATCAGAAACTACTTAGGATAAAGTTGCTTGGTTAGTACACCTCCTCAGCTGTGATCACAGCCTTTTGACTTGACCACTGACCTGTTTGTCCAAGGATTTAAAAGCTCTTTTATTTCTGCTAATTAAGTACCAACAAATATCCAACTCCATTATCAGGCCTGTACATTTGGGTCTAGCTCCCTGGGCAAGCCAATCTCATTCCCTTGGTATTGCCAGAAGGCAACTCATTCCTCCAGCAAATCGTTCAACATTCTTCCTGTCTATACCAGGAAATCCACTACTCCCTGTCTTATCTTTGTTTCTCAGCTCTGTTGCCTCTGATACCACTACCTCTCTGACATTGCTTCTTGCCATCACTCTATCTTCTGGAGTACGGGGTTTCAGTACAAGTATGATAGATGCAACAATTTTTTTTTTATTTCTTGATGACAATGAGATTTCCCTTTTACACCTCTGAAAGGGGTAATTTTAAAATGAACAGTATGACAAAACTAACAGTATGGTACTGTGGTTGTTTGTGTCTTACTATGGTGCTGGAAGCTATATCACCAGTATTTCAAACCCTGGCAGAGTCAGCCATTGCAGATAAGTTTCAGTGGAGGTTAGCTATCCACTTAGGAAATCAGAGACCTTTGAAAACACTATGGACAATGGAAGAACTTTGTCAGATAAGGTGCTGTAAAATGAGCCCTGAGAAGACTCTCAAAATGTGAAAGTTCTGCCACCCCGAAGGAGAGTCTACTGTAATGACATAGTTGGAGTAAACTTTCATTCAGTGAAGCAATTTCATTTGTTGATGTAGCAAAATTCACAATGAGAAGAAACCGCTGCAAATATTCAATAATAATTGGAACATGGAAAGTATATAAAGTTTGAATCTAGGAAAATTGCAAGTTGTCAAAAAGGAAATGGAACCCATCAAGATCAATACCCTAGGAATTAGTGAGCTGAGATGGACTGGGGTTTGTCATTTTGAATCAGTCACATGATACACTATACTTGAAATGAAAAATTGAAGAGAACTAATGTGGCATTCATTGACAGAACATTTTAAGAATGATTCTGAAGTACAGTGCTGTGAGAGAGGGGTTGCTATATATACACAGATAACATAATGATTATTCAAATATACACACCAACCACAAAAGTTGAAGGCTAAGAAGCTTAGGATTTCTACTCTCTCCATACCTATTCAATCTGTGTATTGAGCAAATTATTCAAGAAACTGGACTTGGTGAAGATGAATGTAAAACCAAGACTATTATTATTCCATGCATGGGAGTTTAAAGAGGCAAGGGGTAGGAGTGGAGGGATGAGGATAAGTAGAGACAAAATGATAAGGTTTCACAGTTTGGTGGGTGGAGGAGGGGAAAGAAATGGGAAGGATCTGGGTGAAAAGGCAGGATAATGACAGGCACAGTCCAATGGTGATTAATTTTATATAACAATGCATGGGAATGATTGTATGAAACACAATCTGAATGAAGAACAGTGTGAAGCACAATGTACACAAACTTTGTAAGCAAACCAATTAAAAATATATAAGAGAATAAATTTCAAGTACAATATTTTAAAAAATCCCACCAAATACTGCATAAGACCAATATTATAAAAACAGAAAGCTAACCAATAAGATGTGTATGAACATCCAAAGAGAAAAGAGGAAGGGGCTGGGGTGCTGAGGGTTCAGAGGGTGTAAGATCACAGGGTCACAGAATGTGGTGAGTAGAGGGAATAGGCAAAAACCAAACCAATGAACATGAATTAAATACAACGTAAATAATTATTGTATGCAAACCAATAAAAAAATTAAAAATGATTGGCGAAAGCTTCAATAAACTTTGTTGTGCAGATGACACAACCTTACTTGGGACAGTGAGGAGGACTTGCAGAATTTGTCACAGAAGATCAAAGAATACAGTCTTCAATATGGATTGCATCTCCATATCAATAAAAGAAAAATTCTTTTATCACTGGGTCAAGTGGCAACATCATGATAAATAAAGAAAAGATTGAAACTATCTAATTATTTCATCTTACTCAGAACCACAATCAACACCCTCGATACCAGAAATCAGGAAATAAGGAGATGTATTGCACCTGGAAAGTCTGTAGCCAGGGACCTCTCCAATTATAAAGGAGCAAGGATGTCAGTTTGAAGACTAAGGTGCATCTGATTGAGGCCACAGTCTTTCCAATCATTTGCTGTGGATCTGAGAGTTGGACAGTGAATAAGAATTATAGAAGAAGATTTGATGTCTTTCTGTTGTGATGTTGGAGAGAGAACAGTACTGACTATCCTATGGATTGCCAAAGAACAAAGAAATATGTCTCGAATGAAGTGCAGCCAGAGTGCCCTTTGGAGGCAAAGAGGATGAAGCTTTGCCTCACTTACATAGGGTGTCTTTCCAAGAGAGGCTATTCCTTGAAAAGAGACACCATGCTTGAAAAGGCGGAGAATCAGCAAAGGAGAGAAAGACCCTTAACCAGGAGAACTGATTGCCACAATGGACCAGGGTGTCAGAAAGAGTGAGAATGGAACAGGATTGGACAGGGTCCAGATCTGTTGTTCATGGAGTTACTATGGGTCATATTTGATTCGATGGCACCTAACACAATAAAAGCCTGTCATTTGATGGGGGTTATAAAGATGTTGTGACTAGAAAATTCATATGAATAAGTTCTCTGCACTTTACTTGGCCTTGAAATCTAACAAAATTTTAAATCTGTTGCATTTCTAAATTGTTTTAGACTGATTGTTTTTTCCTTCTTTTCATTTTAAGGGATTGCACTGTCAGCCTGAAGGCATGTGCTTTGAATCCACTGGCAGCTCTGTGGGAGAAAGACAGACAATCCCTCCCATGTGATTTACTGCCTCTGAAAACCCATTGAAAGGTTGACTATGAATAGGTTCCATCTTGACAGTACATAACAACACCAACTCTGGTGACATAGTCCTTAGGGAATTGCACTGCTAACTGAAAGGTCCCTTCTATCTGGTGGTTTGAATCCACTACTGGCTCCACAGGACAATGATGGACAATCTTCTCACATGTGACTTGCAGCCTTGGAAATCCAATTAAGGATCAATTATAAGTTGGTTATGACTTGCAGTAACGCATGAATGATGTATGTATAAACAGACTATGCATGCCTGTACTACTATTTCTTTTGGGAGCATAAACTTGTTTCTAGTTTCACAGAAATGCTTTGCCTTAGGATGGATCACATATAATCTAATTTGTAAACAATTTAGATAATTATTAGTATAACTTTTGAACTGATGAGATATTGTAACTTGATGTTGAAATTTTAGGGTGTGGAGTGTGATAATGCATGTGTGATAATGCAAATGTAAATATTTTGGACCAGAAAGTAAAAGAACTGGTTGAGTAATTCCAAAAGATAGAGGTCCTGATTTCTGGGAGTTGTAAATTACCTTTTACAACAAAGTCTTTGCAAATATGATTACATTATGATCCTAGGATGAGAAGTTTGTCTTGAATTAGGTAGATAGGCACAAAGAGAAATTAAAAAGTTCTTGTTTAAAAATGACACACTATTGAAGAGGAGAAGGTCGTGTAACAGAGAAGCAGAAATTGTAGTGATACAGCTACAAAGAAAGGAATTCCAGCAGCCACTAGAATCTGGAAGATTTAAGGAACATATACATTAATAAATATAAAAATCAATATCAAGTACATCCAACCTGCCAGGCACGATACATCATATTACAAAAGAATAAATGTCTATCTTTAACCCAATGTGATCTTAAGTGCTATTGTAGAAAAAAAAGTGTCCAGATCATCTTCTTTTATAAATAAGGGATAAAAATAAAGATATTTTGAATATATTCTTGTCAGATAATAATAATACAACAATTTCTCAAGATCTATTTTGAGTATTTTAAAAGTAAATTTTACTGGATCTTTATTATTTTCAAATTTACCATCAAAATTAACACATGAGATAGTTATCTGTCTTTAAAAATATTAATTAGCTATTAAAGAAAAGACAAGATTTAGTTTGGCAATCAAAATTAATTACACTACTATGTAACTTAGGAATAGCACACATGAAAGTATTTTCTTTACTTGTGATGAAACAAGACTGAACATTTAGCCTCACGTTTGCTCTGATAAAATATTTTCAGAACTAACTTTAATTTACCTCAAAGGATAA